ATGTCACTTCACCCTCTCCAAATTTCACTCTAATTCCCCCTCTCTTTTTCAGTGGGAAAAACTTTTTCACTGTCTTTTTCAGGTGGCAGCAGCCACCAGCACAGCATGCTCCACCATCCCTCACTGCTGTAATCCCTGAGCCCAGGGCTCTCTCTCCTCCAGCTGTTAAATCCCCAAGACACCCAAACACTGTGTTCCCACTCATCAGAGCTGCTGCCAGGCTTTCCTCTGCCTGCTTCCCAGACTGCAGTGGTGGTGAGTGACCTGCAGGCCAGCTCTAGGCTCGGGATGCCACCTGAGGTGACCAGTTCTGCAGCAGGGACACACCAATTCAGTGCTGCTGACACTGGTCACCAGCTGCCATTGGCACATGCATCTGCAGCCTGCAGTGTGGCCGTGCTGGAGGCATGACAAAATAAATCCTGCTTGAGCCAGAGGGCACACCAGCCACCCAGAGCTGCATGCACAGGCACACAGATGGATGGGGCAGGGCAGCACTGCCCTGTGGGAATAGGAACCTGTGTGATGTGCCAAAAACCCCACAACCACCCCAACCACAGCAGCTACTGACACTAGCCAAGGAGGGAAAAAAGCCAAATATTCCTTCTGCAGCATTGTGAACTATGCAATGTTTCCAGTGGTATAAAAGGATAGTCCAAGGACAAGCAGCTAAACAAGTTCTGAGAACTCATACATTAGATCAATCTAAATATTGTCTAATATTTAACAATTCAATTGCAATAATGGCTCCAGTGATCTAAAATACAAACCAAATTGAGGAGCATCAAAGCTCCGTGCTCTTGCATGTGCTCTTTGTTCCATCAAGAAGCTGGAGGCTGATGCAGAATTCAGCTTCCCCATGCAAAAAAAAGAGGTCAGATCTTAAAAGCCTAACTCAATGTTTTCACTGTTAGAGCCCTGAGTCATGCCCCAGGAAGAAGCACTGAGTTCCATGCAAGGCTCCCTACCCTGGGAGCTCAGAGCTGCATCTTTGGAGGTTCACCCTCACTTCCTCTAAACTCACTTGAATAGAAAAGGGCTGAGGGGTGTCAGGAGGAGGAGGGAGTGCTGACACAGACATCCATACACATACACCATGTGAAGGCTGAGGAAAATGGTGGTACCACACGGCCAGGGAGGAGGGGGAGCAGCTGTTTGTCAGCCAGCACTGCAGCAGATTCTGTATCATGCTGAGGTTTGCTGTGAGATAGCCACACACCAGCTGTGTAGTACGGAGGCAGAACCCTGCCCAGTCTTCCAGCAAGCACAGACCCAAGTGGAGATGACACAGGGCACCCCACAGCACTGGTGCATCCCCCTGTCATGGCACACTGCAGCATCTTCCTGCACCTAGGGCAAACCCTGTGAGCATAGCCTGCACAAGAACTACAAATAAATAAGGAAATAAGCAGAAGTGTTCCTGGCCTTTTCCTAGCCCAGAAACGTTCTGCCACCCACGCTGCTCCCCACCCAGCCCCAGCATGTTGACACAAGCCCGGTGATTGAGAAGATGCTGGCACAGGAGCTGCTCCAGGACAGCAAGTGCTGCAGGGGCTGGGAGCCAGCTACAGCAAAAGCTTGTCGAGACATTTTCTAAGAGTGAAAAAGAAGAGATGAACACCACTCCAGATACCATGGTGCCAGGATTATCCTGGACATGTTAGTGTGAATTTTGTTTTCAGCTTGGGCAAGTCAATGCCAGCAGCTTCACTAGTGGTCCCCCTACACACCTGAACTTACCCATGGATGTTCTGTTCTCCTGCCAAAGGAAAAGGTCCTATGGAAGCAAATGCTGCAGCTTCCCCACACACTGAACCGAACGAGGTCAGCTGGAATAAAGCAGGGAATGAGAATGGAGCTGGCCATTTCTTAGGTGGGAATAACAACAGCAAGGCTGGCACTGGGATTATTTTCTTTTGCAAGGAGAAATGAGGAAACAATCACCAGGGTTTTATAGATTCTGTGTCAGAGGAAAATTGAAGGGATAAGAGCAGATGCATTTGTTATATAGAAGACTCATCATTAGAAATGAACATATAAAATTTAATAGCTTGGTTTAAAATACATTTTCAATTAAAAAACAGCAGGCAAAACAAAAAAAAATCAGTTTCATAAAACATACATGACATTGCTGCTACTGTTATAAGACCCGTGTCCCAGAATATCTTATAGTGGAAAACAATCGTCAGATTTAGTTCACATACTTCATTAAGCAGTAAAAAGAAATAACATTCATGTCAATCTTACCTCTATGGAGATTCTAAATCTACTTCCCTGACCCTAGACCAAGTTTCTGTAGTAAAACTTCCACTTTCAATAAAAATGTGTAAATATATATATGTATTCTATATATCATTTTTTTTTAAAAAATTCCCTTGCCATAGTAGAAGGATTCCCATGGCTGCTGAAGGGCAGCCCGAGCAGGAGGCTGGTGCTGGCTGGGCATGGCTCCCATGGCTGCTGTGCCAGAGGTGCATTCCTGTAAGGGGTGGCAGCTGTTGGCCAAGTCTCTTCAGCATGGTGCTGCACATCAGCCTCTCCCCTTTGGCCTGAGCCCACACGCTCTGGCCACACAGCCACAGCCACAGATGCACCTGTGTGAGTTTGCTGAGGGGAGCTTGCAGTGCCCAGAGCACCACCAACCTCTTTGGGGCCCATCAACAAAAGAGAAGAAGGGGAATACAGGGGGGAATGGAATGAACCAGCTCTGGATTGATCGAAATACAAATTCCAAAATACTGTATTTTATATAAATCATTAAAAAAGAATGTGGGGAGGGACTTCAAGTGGTCACCTGGACTCACCACCAAGGGAGAATCAATTACACCTGTGACAGTCCAAGGATACCTTTGCTCAGCCTGGCTCTGAAGACCTTTGATGCCAAACCACTGCCTCTATGGGCAACCTGCTTTCTCACTAGAGAAAACTGCCTCAACAGCCAGCCTGAAATTCTGTGATTTGCACCACTACTCCCTGTGCTTGCCATGGATAGGGAGGACATGTCCATGGGTCGGGAAGCTGCTCCCATCAATCATCCCATCTGAACATGAGCCCTCACCAGCCAGAGCATGCAGGCCTTCCTCCTCAGAAGCCATGAGGAGCCTTGGCCAAAGGACCACGTGGTCCATACTCCAGTGGAGACCTCAGCAGTGCCAAGCAGAGCCAAAGCAGGGGGGATCTCCTATTTCTTCAGGTCATGCTCCTCTTGATAACTCAACGTGGCATTTGCCTTCCTCTTCCAAACAGCACCATGACAGAGCTAAGCAATAGTAGGTTACAATTTGTTAACCATTAAGTAGAACCATTAATTATTAAGTAAAATCATATGCTACTTTTCTGGACTATTTCTCCAGTCTTTCTAGGTTGACCTTCATGTCCTAGGTGAGGTATGTGCAGCTTTGTACTGTCTGAAAATGTTACAAACCTCTTTCAATACCCAGATTCCTAACCAAAGCCTGACCTGGCACTCACATTCATCTGCTCACTGTGTAACCGAGGTTTTTGCCTTAGTGCTGCCCTTTAAGTGCTCCTCTTGCACTTGCTATTAACCAAAGAGTGCCTTTCCTTCATAAGCACACACACACAATGAGTAAATAACACAGGGCAGCACTCTCTAGGGGTGTCTGGCACTCCCAGTGGGGGCTCAGGATGCCTGCTGTGCCCATTGGGTCTCTCCAGCTCAGCAGCACATCCATGGTATCTACAGACACCAAGAATGGATAACCTACTTGGAGGCCCTACTCCCTGCTAACACTTGGCCTGCTGAGCCATTTTGGCACCTTCCTCTCTCAAAAGCCTTGCCTGTGCATTTCCAGTTGTTGACATCCTAGGCCTTGCAAGCTGGCTCCTCTAGCCCATGGGTTCATCCAGCCTGAGCTGCTGGTGCAGGCAGCATCCCGCTGAGCCTTAAGTACACTGCTACAGAAAAAAACCCACCCTTGAGGAGACCTTCTTCCTGACCCTCAAACATGAGACTACAAGAGAATTGCATCTGCCCAGCTCCTCCTGTGAACCAGCTCAGACTGGGCCCAAATCACCTCCCAGGACAGCAGTACCCAGCTGTTTCAGGACTTAGTGGCAGTTCATGACAGAAACCAGGACTTCCATCACCTGCCTGGGCATGAGGATTTAGGAGAGAGCTGGTATCTTTTTCCTTCTACATAGGAAAATCCATGTTTAACAAAGCAGGTCTCTTGTGCCTTCTATGAATGTACAAACGTGTGCTCACCTTTGGTGCATGATAAGGGTTTGTCCATTGTTAAATATTTATGTTAAATATGATTTCTCTGTATATGGCATCCTTTTAGATGGGCTTCATTGCATATATTCACGGTATATACAGAACACCATATTTTATATATATTATATATTGCTTATATGTACACATTTACAAACCTTCAAAAATATATTGCACTTATATACAATATAGCTTCATCTGATGAGAGTTCACACAGTTACTAAGGCGAGTTCTTCATAAGCAAGGCAGTTTTACATTCCCCCAAATGACACAAGTGATTTCAACAGTCTGCCCTGGTCACAAGTAAACATTAAAGACTTTTCTCCAACCTGCATGCAACTCCTACTAATATCAATCAGTAGTTTTGCAGCTCTCCCTAGCAGAAAACAGTCCAGTAAAATGGTATTAGCTGATAACAGGCTCAAACATGGTTACTAAAAAGATAAATAAGACATCACCAGTCTAAAAGGCCACCTTACAGGAGATTTCCCCTCCCATAGCTACTAGTGGTTTATACACTAGTAAAAATATATACATGGTCTCCACTTAATTGCCAATCTTGGCTTGCCCATTTCAAGTGCAAATAAGATCATGAGCAAGAACACAAACACAAATGTATTAAGCAAAACCACTGCTCTGCTCCCCAGAACAAGTCAAACATCTGGCTTTCTTCTGGAGGTGATTAGTGTTTTGCCCAACATACTGAATTATGGGAAAATGTTCACTTGAGACCTTTGTTTAAAATCCACAGTGATCTGTGATCTTAGATCTCAGTCAAAGTCAGCTTGTAAGATCCTCCAACCTCTTCAATCTGCAGCTGGAAGGTATCTTCATTAGAATAGTGTTTCACAATGTTATCATCCATGTTGACCAGAATTCTGGAAAAACAAAACGGATCAGGTATTTTACAGTTCTAAATGCCAAAGGCACTCTCAAACCTAAAAAAGCCTGGACTATCCAAGGGTAACACAAGATCCTGCTCATCTCTCTCTGACTCATTGCTTCCCATAGCAGATCTGGCTGTTCTGACCCAACTCTGCCATCAAGGCTGGCAGCCACACTTCTCAGGATCTGAATGGAAGGATTAAATCTGGCTCCTGGACCAGGGAGGGAGAGAGATCTTGGAACCAGCAGAATCCTTCTGAAGCTGCAGGCACCTGGGGCTCTGAATGGGTTTGCTAGTCAGTTATAAACTATCAGCACAAAACCCTCCAGAGCTTGCAGGGAAGAAACCACTCATGCTTGGCCACTGCTTTCATTTGGCAGAAAGGTCAATCCCTGTGTGTTTGTGTGCACACATGCACACAAAGCTGTGCTTAGCAGTGGTTTTCTGTCTGCCACAGATTTTAAGCTTTTTGCAGCTGTTCTGGTGGGGTAATTCTGCTGTGAAAGCACAACCCTGGAAGGGTGTAATTTTCTGGCTAGAAGGAGAAGGGGCTGAGACACCAAACTGACAACCACTTATAGACAACCCAAAAAATTACTGAGAAATTAAAAGATAAAACAAAAGCAGACACTGTTCAGAAACTCAATTACTTATGCTACAAAATAAAAAGATTAAGTATGGCCTCTGGGAGAAACAGACACTTCACAGCTAAGTTCTCTTCAATTTAGCCCACAAAAATACAACCAGGGTTCAGTAATTGTAGCCAAATGCAGATACAGTAAACCCAGTCACCACTGTAACAATTTAACATAGGTTGAAGGAGGTTCTTCGTCATTGGGAGTCTTTTAACAAATTGAACTCTTCTTCCTCTGACATGATCAACTCTGGTTCAAATAACTAGCTCAGAGAGGCTCAGTGACTTGTATTTACCCAGGAAGCCAGACTACATATTTCTATAGGGCCTTCCCATAGTCTTCAGCTCTGTGGATGATGTTGCAATATGTGTACTTTTGTGCACACACACATAACAGCAAATGGCATTCACATATCTGCAGTGCATGGAGGAATTATACAGCAGATCTGCCTACAGCTTTGAAAAAGGTGTTCATATTCTTAGGCAGTTACTGCACAGGTACATACTCACCCTTTTTTACATTTTTTGAAGATTTTTCCTATTTTATCAAAAGGAACATCATACTTGTCAGATATCTAGAACAAAAGAAAGCAATGATTGGTGAAGCAAGGAAACTGCTGTCATTGTCTTTCGCTTCCTATTTTACAGAAAGGAACAACCACAACAAAAAGCCTGCAAATGAGGACAACTGCTCTGCCCTATAAAGGCACCACTAAATCCCAAACTATAGTGTAAATGTACAGATCAGAATATCTTCTCTGCATTTAGCTAACTTCTGTACAAAAAATGTAACCATGTTTGAATCTGGATACTTCTCATACAGCAACCTCCCTCCCTACTCTCAAAAGCCCACCCACTAAAAGCCCACTCCACACCCTGACTCTCATTCTCTCTTGGCTCTCTGTTCTCTTGGCATACTGAAAACCATTTTTAAATTTAGTGTCAGAGGGATCAAGTGAAAACTAGTCATGATAGTGGCTGAAAGAAGAAAATAGCAACAGAGAGAGGACCTCTGCTGCTAAGGGCATGAGGTGATCAGAAACATTCTCCTTCCCCAGCAGGGTGACACCAGTGTGGAGCCACAGCCACTGACCATGGCACTTCACTGCACAACCTCCAGAAAGTCTTGAGGTCAGTAACCTAAGCCTGGTTTACTCTGGCAAACTGCTCTATCACACCACACTAAGTACCAAACCAAGACACTGCTTTGACATGCAAATGTACAGGGAGTTTCTCCCAAGCTACAGCTCTGAGTACTTGGTTCCTTGCTTTAAGAAATCCGAGTGAAACAACGGAGGTGCAGCTGCACTTCAGGACCATGGGGTAAGGAAGGACTTGACAGCCTTCAAACCCTCTCTCCACTAGCCCCCACTGTCCAGCTGGCAAAGCCTCACAGCCAGGAAGAGATAAAGATTCTGGTTACACAACTATCTCTACAACCAAAAGTTAATGGCTAGACCTGTCTGCATATCCCCAAAGCCCCTGTTCCCTGAGCAGAGGCATTAGTCACAGAAAGAGACAGACAAGTGTCAGTTCTGAGCTCATGCCAAATATTACACCATTCCTTGGACTTAAGCTCTGTACTTCCCTTGCTCTGCAGCAGCAGGGATAGTGGAAGGCTATTTTGGAAGTCAAGCAGCAGAGAGCAATTTCACACATGTGTGCAGAAATATAAAAGTATTCAGCAACACAGAGAAGCTGGGACTTGCAGCTCTGCATTACCAGCTTGTGAAAGGGCAGTGGAGGGCCCCAAACATGGTTTTGAAAGGCTGAAACAAACCCAAGCCACTGGATACATTCTGAAAATCACTCCATCTCCTAGCAAAAGTACCCTCTCTGACAAGAGGAACATCCAATAATCAAGTCTGACAGACCTGGATCTTCAGGAAGGCTTCTTACACCAGACCCCAAAAATGTGGGGTAAGGTACTTAAAAGACAAGCCTCCTGAATTCCCTCAACAATAAATTAAAGCATTATTTGCATTAATTTCCATGTTATTGAAAGAAAATCTTCCTTATTCTTCTTATCCAGAAGGGCAGAAATGTGTGGACACAAGCTGTGACTGGCCAGTGTGTAAGGACTGGGTAGCCAGGGCTTCTTCTCAAGGACTACAAAATGACCTCATTACTTACAGCTTCCATGAGGCCTTTCAGAGATGGTGTCTTCAACATCAGTGCATCAAAGACCTCCTCTGACTCTTTCCGGACATACAGCAACACTGGAAAGCAATTTGGAGAGGAATTAACTGTGCAATTGCTCCTCAGGAAAAATCTGTATCCCACAGTGGCTAAGCACACAGGGACATCCACTGTGATGAAATGAATATTGAATGTATGCATGTCTATTTCTTCATAAGGTCCTCACCTTATGAAGAAATAGACATGCATACATTCAATATTCATTTAACACTGTAGCACAAACACACTGCTAGGTTAGCTCAAAACTTACTTCTTGCACATAAAGCCACTGTATGCTCAAGCATCTTTATTGTCAAAATACCTCTGTATTTTCTTTATTTTCTCTATTATTAGAGAAAAGGTCATATTTGAAAGAAATAAAGGAGGAACACAAAACACAAGTCTTTGAGACTCTTGGGTTCCTCTATATCTTAGCCATTTGCCATAAGACCTTCCACAATCAAATGATTTGACAGATGCTATGACAGCAGGTGAAACCATCCTGGCCAGCTCCTAATTTTTAAATAATTTATTTGTACAGTTCTGTGCTCTTCTGCACTGTCTCATCTTTCTTCCTGCCCCTTGCTGTGTTTCAGTAATACTCTTACACCAGAGCTGACATACAGTGCAGGCTTGGTCTGCTCTAGGAGGGGAATGAAAGAGCAGGAACCCCAATTAGGTGAGCATCCCTAGCGTTCTCAAGCTAGCACAGACTCACTGCATGTAACATCAGCCTCATTAAAAACTGCATTAAGGCTGAGGAATTAGTCAGGAGAGTAAGAAAGCTTGGACTTTAACAGCTTTGCTGTCTTTAATCCATCTTCTAATGACCAGGTATTGCAGCCTGGATTGTTTGCAAGGGTTCATCAGGCACAGCTTTGACACACCTGCAACATGCAACAATTACTGGCATTTCTAATGGAACAAGGTGAACTCAGGACAGCACAGCACCTTGATGCATTGCCCAATTTGCCTGTTAAAGGCAGCTTTAAAAAGGGTGGACTGTAGATTTGAAAAGAGAAGACAGGACACAGTCTCAGTTACAGCACAGGTCAGATGAGAGTCAACCAAAGGAGAGAGAATCTCATGGGGCTTCTTTTATGACATGCAGCAACATGAAAAAAACAAGAAGTTGGATTTCCTTCTATAAAATTCATCCTTCCTTACTAGTTTATCCAAACTGCAGAAGTGCAGCCCCATTATGGTCAGACTTGCTAGACTTAGCATTTGCTTCTTCATAGGTTTAATACTTCAAGCTTTGTTGCAGTCCTTCCAAACACAACTATCATCAATCAGGCACACCACCCTCCAACACCCCAAAGGGACCTCTCATCTCCTTCCATAACACCACAGCAACATGAACTTGCAAAGACTGAAACTCAGTTAAAAATCAGCTGAATATTCTCTTAGCTTGGCTTTCAGAGGTGAACATCCAATTTCCTGGCACCATGGAAGATGCAACAGTTTTACACCCAGAACCAGTTCCTGGTGCTCATTGCTTGAAGTCCTGGAGGAGATTTCCCCAGTATTTTGTAGCAGATTACATGATGAATTCTCTGCCCCAGTCCATGAGGGACACTGGTAAGCTGCTCACCTCATCATGACTTTTTCCTTAGAGGTTCAGAGCCCATTACTGTCTGAGTTGGCAGAAACTGCCAGAAATTCTCACAACCTAAAATATTTACAGAGCTGAATCATATCTTGATACATGAACTGTCGCTACTCAAAGCCAGAAAAATCAGTCTGAAGTATACATCAATATGAATTAAAACATTCTTTAACCTCAGATGCCTCTCTCTATCATGATGTATAAATACTCCAAAAATTCAGTCCCTGAAAGAAGAAAATACCTCTTTTTGGCTCTTCTACTCTGGCCATCTTATTTGGAGTAGCAATAAAGTCCTCTTCACCAATATAAGCTCCTCTCTTCAGGTTGGAGCTGTCATTGACAGGGCAAAAAGTTAGCAGTGGAACAATTACAGGGACTTATCCCTCTGTCTGAGGGCAAGGTGTCAGGAGGTTGAAGGGCAGATCTTACCTTTCACCCTCTAATTCTTCTGAAGCAACAGGAAGGACCTTTAAAAACAAAGGGGAGATTTTGTGAGTATTTCTTCCAGAACTAGAGTTAATTTTCTCTTATAATCTTTCAACGGTAAATCAAATGACACTTTGGCTCCAAAAGCCAGTAAACATCTTTACCTTTTTTCATATAAAGTAATAAAGGATCTCAAATGAGAGAAAGGAACAAAAAGAAGCTAACTAGCTTCCTCCCTGGACTGGTGTAGAATCTTCTGACAAAACTCAGCACTAAGGCCTTTGTAGAAAAACATGCAGGAATGTCAGACTTATGGATACAAGTTTATTCTCCATTCTTTGCTAGGAGTTCAGGCAATGCTCTTAAAAAGTAAGGTTTAGATTATGTTAGAGCATGGCAGAACTCCTGGCACAGCAAAGTTCCAGATTTTGAAACCTGGTTGCATGCTAATTTTTCCCCTTCCTGTTTCTTGTAAGCTGGAACTTTCCAGGAACACTGAGGCAGGGCACCCTGGCAGTAGATCACAGAGCTGACACACAGGCCAGTTCCACAGGGTAGATTTTCACCCTGCAGCAGGATCTGGAGGAGTCTGTGCTGCACAACAGCACACCAGGATCCCAAGGGATGCCCCAAGTAAAAACCACCCTGCAGTTCATGCAATGGAAAAATCCTTTCAGGTTCGCAGAAACTGGACTTGACAGGAAAATAATTTGATGGTGAAAGACCCCCAGTTAACTTCAGCCAATGTATCTTGGAGGAACATTTCTTGCCCACATGAGACTCAGCCTGTATTTGATTACAGCACTGATGCAGTCTGACATTTCATATGTACATAAATACACACAGCATCCCAGGCCTTTTGCAAAAACATCTCCGAGCCTCCTCATCCCCACAGCCATGAGCTTTACTCACGTGAGCCCCACGCTGCAGGTTTGCAAAGTGAACATCAGGGATGAACAGGACAGGCTGAGTGTCGAGGTCCATGAAGGGCTTGAAGATGGTGATGTCGGTACGTTTGTGTGATGGAAGCATGGGCACTTTGACATCAGAAACTGTGGAAACAAAGATTGGGATTGAGGATACTGAAGGCTCTAATGGGGCCCTACATCATCTAAAAGGTACATACACTGCTGAACAGGGGTATTCTGCAGTCAGAGTCAAAGCAAAAAGCTCCTGTGGTCAAGGGAGTTGGAACTTTGGTTGCCTCCCTCTCAGCTGAGGAGCTGTGCCCTGAGGGTTTGCTTCTCAGAGCAGTCAAAGCTTTCTCCACCTCTCCAACTGAACAGCTCTACTTTGTTTAGATATTAATTAGGATGGACAATAACTGGCATCAGCCCAAGAGAGGAACTGAGGTCTTCCATGTACCAAGTCAGCCATCCAAACAGAGGGCAAAAATCAGTCCCTGCCCCACCTTCTCCCTCTCCAGTCCCTCAAAAGCTTGCTGGTATTCCTACACCAGGAGGATACAAAGAAGAAAAGGGACAACTTGTGTGTTCCCAATTGGGAGCGTCTTAAAGAGACAGCACCACAGTAGCTGTCAGCACCACAGAGTGAGTACAAACACTGGTTTATGCAAGTTGTTATATTTAAAGTTACATTTTGATTCCACACTTCCAAGTTTCACATTCTAGTTCCTCCCATTGTTCCTCCTGGTCACCTCAGGGTGCCAGCCCCTAGTCCATTCCTCCAGGATCTGTCTCCCACAGAGCTCTCTGGCTCTCACAATGTACCAGCTGATGTGACACAACCCACCAAGAGGGCAGACTTCATCCACAAAGACCCTCTGAGGAGAAAGTGAGGCAGAAGGTGCCTTAAACCACATTTCAGACACATTCATGTCAAACTATCACAGTTGAAGACTTTATTTTACCAAGTGGAAACACATCCATCTGAGGTCAAAACAACTGCAAACAAAATAAATGTTTTTCAAACAAAACCATTTCTCACATCCTCAGTAGAAAATACACTATCTTCTCCTTGCAAAATGGATTTTTTTAAGATTTCTCAATTTCTGTAAAAATAACTTTGCCCAAAAGCCACCAACTGTTTCTGCTGTTGAAGAGCTCATGTACACATGGCACTTGTGATCCTGGAAGTGAGTATAACAGCTTAGGGCTTCCAGGAATCAAAAACTTCCCACAGAAGAACTTGGAAGCCAAAGATCATACTTTCCAGGAAAATAAGGATCACATCAGGCTAAGCCCAAGCCTGGAAAATTAACATTGGAAAGCAGCTTTTGTCAAACCATGAGATCCTGGGCAATGTGTACTGAAGCTGCCTTCCCTTTCCAGATGCCAAGGGTTGCACACAGTAATCTTCTGGGAGCCGCTGGGGCTGCTGCGCTTGTGAAACGTTAACAGTGCGCTAAACCTGCCTCTTGTGACGTGCTCTGAAAGAAACCAAAAACCCAGCCCTTTCCACAGCTTCCCTTGAGCAAATGGGTTCCCTTCAGCACTGTGTTCTGAAGCTGCTCCAGCAGCCTGTACCTGCTGTGTCAGGAAAATCCTGCCGGGCAAGCTGAAGGCGCGCGCTGGCTGAACCAGTCGGGCTGTCGGCAGCACAGCGAGCGAGAGCACGCGCCTGACCCGTGCCAGCCAGCAACAGGGAGACACATCTGCCTCTGAGCAGCTCTGCTGCTGAATAACCACTCATCCAAACACAGCATCTGCCAGCCACAGCAGCTAAAGGAAGATACTCAGCAGGAAGAAATTCCTCATCCTTTAGGTACGGTGATGCTGAAGTCTCCACATACTTCACACATGCAGACACTCTGAAATGACTTGCTAAGGACTACTTTGCTCTAGAAGAGTGAGCATAGGACTGAGAGGCTGGAGGCTCAGCCTCAAGGCTGCCACGGCCTTGCTGACAAGTTGCAAACACGTTTTTTAATGTAAGTTAAAAGCTAAGTTTAGGATCAAGCTGACAATATTTGAAACTGATCATTCTCACTGCCACCTGGATTGGGAGGGTCTCTAAGCCCAAGAATCCCACCCTCACCTCACCACTTCAACTGCTACAACCCATCCTGACTAAATACACAGCAGGACCCTGTCTTGGACAGAAAGAACTATACAGAACGAAACCCTAAATGACCCAGTGTGTTGCAAAACACAATGCCTGTTCCATAAGGAATTGCTTAAAACAAGCACTGGTCCATAGAGGATAAAAATTAACTTGAGAGTTCTACCGCACAAGCTATTTGTAGCCAAAATGAAATTCAATATTTAAAATACTGCTAGAATAAGTTCTACTTACAGGCATTCAACTGAGAGCTGGGATCAGTGCACTTTCCTTTTCTTTTGCTCTGCTTTCGCTCTTCATCCCTGATCTTCCTCTCTGCTCCCTGTCAGACAAAAGATTAAGGGAAAGCAATGGGTGAGTGAAGAAGAAGAGGAGGGGGAAAGAGAAAGATAAGATATTTTTAATTTTTTAGGTTTTTTTCAGCTGCAGAGGCAGAAACACCAACTCTTCCAGAGCTATGTTTGTGGAGGTCAGTTCCACAGTACCCGAGCTGCAGGTTTGCCAGAGTGTGTGTCAACTTTGAGATCTGCTTACTTCTAACTCCTACCATCTAATGAAATCCAACAACCATATCCAAGATGCAAATGCTTGCTTTTCTTTCAAGTCAGATTGAGATATGGTGACAAAAGATACCCACATCTATAAGGATTGTGAAAAGCATTAGATAAAAGTATAGTTGAAGGGTTTAAAACAATAAAGAATTGCAGGTTCTCCCAGTTTAGGACATCCCTTGATTGTCATTAAAGTCACACCACATTTGGATCACCAAGTGCAAGATACCTCCTGCACATTTCACATAGAGCCTGCAGCAGTTGCACCAGCCTCCACTGAGCTCAAGCTGCAGACATGCACTGCTTTAAAGCAGGGATTATTTCTTCTTTTTATCAGGGCCAGGCCATGGTGGAATCCACAGATTCCCTAACTGGGTTCATGCCTGCACTGTTCCTGGCCTTCCAAACCAAGCAGCAGAGGAGACAGTGCTATGTTGCCATGTTTTCTGCAAGGTGCAGACAGCTATGACAGAGAAAGAAAAGGAAGAAAGAAGCTTTGGAATAGTGTTCATTCCTCCAGCTCTGCCCAGACCTCACACGTGACTGTGGGTTAAGTCAGGGATGTCACAGTGCCAGCTGCATGAAGTGATAAGCCCATAGGAGATCCCCAACACTCAGTCCTTGTGCTACCACCAGGTCACCAAAACTGGTATACACAAGTTCTAGCTGGCTCCCAATGCCCTCCTGCAAAGCAGGGCAAAAGGTAACAGTTACCTGGCCACACCAAGCCATGACTTCTCATTCCCTCTCCTTCAAAGCTGCCAAAACACACCCACATCCTTGCATGGTACTGGAGGAAGACGTGATTAGCTACAGAAAATGAGGTGTCAAAACTCCTGTGGCCATGGGGTGGGAATCTGTGCCTAATGGTGCATGGGAGAATGGGAACAGCCCTCCTCACTTTCCAGTAAATTAATGCTCTATAGATGCCAGGCTGCCTATTCCCTGCTGATAGCACTGGGCTTATCTGCACCAGCAATAAAACAGAAAATTAGCCAAGATATTTGACACACATTAACACATATCATCTTTTCTTCCACCCAATGAAGGGGAGAAAAACAGCTTCAGGCAGCTGCAGTGAAAGAGAGAAAAAAATACTCATGAAGACACAGGCATTGCCAGCTTTGCTTGGCCCAATAAAGCTGATATAGCCCGCTACAGTGAAGACATCCCACCTAAACCTCAGCTGGACCCGAACCCCTCTGCGTCCAGTGCAGTCACAACATCTCAGCTTGACAGCAGGAAGATTAGATAAGGTTCCACATCTGATTTTTACCTTTCATGTGGAAATAATAAGGTTGTGCTACTCAAACACTCTGCTACAGAACAGCATCTGCTTCCTGCAGATGAACATGCTGATTCAATATAAGCACACATTTTGAGAAAAACCTCTGCCCTCCCATTCCCTGCTTGAAAGTCAACTTGATGCAGGCTACTGAGGCCCAGGTAAATACGTCTCAAAACCCACATTAAAAAAAAAAGTTAAGTCTTGATAACAGGCTTTTCTGTCTTGCCAGCAGAGCTCTGGGAGCAGTGGTTTCAAACTGAAAGAGGACAGTTTTATACTGGATATAAGGAGAAGGTTTTTTTCTGATGAGGGTGGCGAGGCACTGGAACAGGCTGGCCAGAGAAGCTGTGGATGCTCCATCCCGGGAGGTGTTCAAGGCCAGGTTGGATGGGGCTTTGAGTAAGCTGGCCTAATGGAATGTATCCCTGACCATGGCAGAGATCTAGATTAGATGACCTTTAAAGGTGCTTTACAACCCAAACCATTCTGTTATCACTCAACTGAAAGAGCAGCTCCATGCTGCTGCCCATTCAATGGACATCAATGCTCCAGCAGCCTTACACCCACTCTTTCCTTCCAACAGCATCCCACTCATTTGTTTCTACCATCCCATGAAAGCCTTCCCACAGCACTGCCCCTGCTACCAGAGTAACAGCAGATCCCAGAGGGTAACATGAGCTCCAGTCAGTGAAACACTGAAACCCTGGATTTAATTCTTCTCATATGGATGCATAGCTGAGGTTCCATTGAGAATAGAGGAGATCTTCCTCTGAGACAGGTCAGCCTCATCCCTGCTCAGCCCAAATACTGCTGGGCCAAGCCTGAAGGCAGGTTGTGCCATAACATTCTACAGGATGACACCATTATACCCATACTGTCCTGGAACCACACAGGAGCAGATGAAAACCAAACATCCCAGGCACTGCAAGCACAGCCTTGACAAAGGAATGGAGGAGACATCTGTTTTGGTGGCCACAAGTTCATGATTTTCTGCTGGTTTGCGTTTTTTCCAACAGACCTCCACACCACAGGTTGGCCCTCCATGAAGAAAACATGGGTAACAGAACTTCTACAGGTGAGAGTGGTCACATGAGGACAACCACATTCAGGGGTGGATATTATAGTAACAATGGTCCTACAAACATTCAAAAGCAGCTGGTTGATTACACACAATTCAACACAGGGCAAAAAACAGGTGCTCCTTCTGAAATGCCAATGCTCTTTAGGAGCCTGAAGCCAGCACTAGGGTCCATGAGTACATGGGGTTTGTGTATGATATGATAGCACGCAGGGCTACAGGCATGGATTTTCTGAGGGGATGTTTATTCCAAAAAGCAGCTTCCCCCATGCCCAGCAGAGCCAATGCCAGTCAGCTTAGGATGGCCAAGGCCCATCAGCAATGGTGGTAGTGCCTCTGGGCTTATGTATTTAAGAAAAAGTGTTCTGCAGCCAGGAGCAAAGTGAGAATATATGAAAGAAACAGCTATGCAGATGCCAAGGTCAGTGCAGAAGGGGGAAGCCAGGCACTGGAGCAGAGATTCCCCTGCAGCCCATGGAAGCCCATGGGGGAGCAGAGATCCAGCTGCAGCCTGTGCAGGACCCCAGACCAGAGCAGGGGGATACCCAAAGAAGGCTGTGATTCCATGGGAAGTCTGTGCTGGGGCAGGGTTCTGGCAGGACCTGTGGCCCCACGGAGAAAGGAGCCCATGCTGGAGCAGGTTTGCAGGCAGAACTTGTGGCCCCTGGGGCACCAACACAGGAGCAGCCTGGTCCTGAAGAACTGCACCCCATGGAAGGGGCCTATGCTGAAGCTGTTTGTGAAGAACTGTAGCCTGTGGGAAGGGCTCATGTTGGAGAAGTTTGTGGAAACTGTCTCCCATGGGAGGCACCCCACGCTGAAGCCAGGGAAGAGTGAGGAGTCCTCCCCCTGAGGAGGAGGGAGCATCAGAGATGTGTGAAGAACTGACCACAGCCCCCACTCCCCTGCAGCAGTGCAGGGGACAAGGGAGAGAATTAGGGAGTGAAGTTGAGCCTGAAAAGAAGGGAAGGGTGAAAGGAAAGTACTTTAAGATTCAGTTTTGTATTTTATTATCCTGTTCTGATCTTGATTTACATTTCTCCTTCCTCCCTTTTAATTCAGGTACAATTTGCAAAGTATCTGGAGGAATAAATCAGGAATGTAAGTCAAAGTCCCAAAGGGAAATAAAAGATGCACTGGCATTACTATATTACTAGATTTGCTGAAATTTCTGCCATAGCTTGAAGGAAGCCATTGGAGTCTATATGCTGGGTACACATCAGCCTTTTTATTAACCAATTTGTCTTATTGGCAGTGGCACAAGCCTGACAGTCATTTTATTAGCATTGTGTCAGTAATTGATTGGACAATTTAGGAGTAAAAGATCCCCCCCTACCCTGTATAAAGTCTATCCTCTCTGTATTGTAGAGAAAAAAGGTTGATAGCACACAGGATTCCCAGATTACTCTGGTGAAAAAATATTAGATGACACAGTTGATTCAGTCTCATCTTGAAAAAAGAAAACAGAAAAAGAAGGAAAAATAAAAGCCTGAAGAAATCTCATGAGACCCAAGCCCCTCAGGCTTACTGGCAAGCCTTTAAGATGGCTCTGGAGAGCCTTTGCCAAGTCCCTGTAAATTTTCTGCAGAAAGTATCACAACAGGAGCAGCTACAGGCAGCTCTCCCAGCTGGGAGGAATGCAGAGGAACCCATTTAAAAACCCACAGATGGACAACAGAACATGGCAGGGTGAGTTAATGGGATGCTACAGCAGGGGCACAGTGCAGAGGCACTGGATATTTTGGGAGGTAAGGGGTGACAGAACAATTGTACATGAGATGAATCTTTGTGCCACTGTTCCTGGGGAACACCAGGCAAGACCACACAGAGGTCTGGCAAAGCCAGCACAGGACCAGAGAGAGGGTGACAGACAGACCTGCCTCAGCCCTGCAGCTGCACTGAGACGCATTTCAGCTGTCACCTGAAAGAGTCTGCCCTATGAAGATGGAGTCCAGATTCAAAGAATAAGAGGCCTAAATCAAGCAGGATATCAGCAAAATAGGAAGTCAACATGGTTCACAGCAATCAAAAGGAATGGGGAAGTCCAGGAAGCATTTATCATGGCCTAGAACAATCTTGGGCACTCTGGAAATAATAACATTACACATCACTTGTCCTGGATCTTCAAAAGACTGCTCAGGCAGGAACAGGTTATGAAAATTGGGAAACTGCCTTTCTTTGCAAACTCAGTTAAGCTTTTACAGCTACTTTCAGCTCAGCTTCTGCTGTTTCTGTCATAGCTTCTGTTGAATACTGGCTTTGGGATAGGCATTAATTCTGTGTGCTAAATTAGTTAGGCAAAGCAGTTAAATTACAGCACCCATTCAGCTTATAAATGGGCTTTTTTAGGCTGCTGTATCTCACAGTGGTACATCTTTTGTTCACAAGCTCTGCAAGTTATTGGTTTGGGGGTTTTAGTAACAAATGCAGCAGGAAAACATGAAGAAATTTAAAAGGACCAACACAACAGAACTTGGGCAAAAAGACAAGCCTGCACTTACTCCAGTCAATGGCAATGATTTCTCCTGCTGAAGGCTCTTCCCAGTGTCAGTATGCCACTGACTGACCTTTCTCTAAAGTCAATGCTCAGGAACACTTAGCACTCCAGCATTTGAGAGCAGCAAATTTAATTGAGGTCATCATAACATGTATGAGCCAAGTAGAAGGGGTTGAAATGTTTTAAACACAGACAGGACTTCTCAGTGAGTCAAAATAGCAAGTGACACAGTTAGGAAGAAAAAAAAGCTGCTAAGCTATGAAGCAGCCTTTCCAAAACAGTCACTGGCACATGGATTCAACCTTACCTTGTCACAGAAGACTTTAATTTGGCAGTAGGCTCTGTGGACAGGTTTGTTACTCCTGTTATTGTAGCTGTAAGTGTCGATCTGAAGATTCAGGGGCAGGCCTTTAACTCCCTTCTGAGAGGAGAAATCTGTGCTGAGGCAGTTGACAGAAATGAAAACCTGCAGAGGAGGAAAGCAGCAGCTGTCAGTAGTGACACACAGACTCCTGATTGACCACTGAGCAAGGGATACTTGGGGACTGCTGAGGCTCAAATGCTGGTCCTTGCCACTACAGCAGCACCTTCCTTCTTCTGGGACACCAGGTAAAATCCCCAAGAAGCAATATAACATTCTTAAGTCTTTACATAAGCCACCAGAGGGGACAAAGCCACTTTGTCCAAAACAGATTTCAACAGACCCTCCAAACTCTAGGAAGACTCCACCCACCATCTTTCCACCCAAGAACTCTCAAATGTCACTATCAAACTTTTAGCAAAAGGGATGCTCCTACAATCAATCCTCACTGCTCAGCATTTATTAGCATCTTGGTAAGAACACAACCATGTTCCAAAAAATTCATGTTACTCTGGGTAAGTTAAATCTTTCCATGAGTTTGACATCAGCATAGCTTATGCTTGAAAGTACTTGGTTGAGGCTTTTTTCAAAAGGCTATTAAAAGCTTTTAAAAAAATATTAGGCAATATGTAATCTTTAAACACAGAAATAACACCATTATTCCGGTGAAGGTTTCTGGGCTTCACACTAAGTTGAACACTTTGAATATTCCTTAGTAAGACCTTCAATACCCTGTTAACATTCAGCTGGAAAGGGTAAGAGAAACATTTCCATTATTACAAAAAATTAATTACGGGAAAAATGAATTGCACGTTGGAACATATCTAATTTCATTTTCATAACTGCTTGAAAAAACAACAAAAAAACCCTCTCAAAAACACAAATCACACACAGCCAGAGAACAAGTCCAATGCTGCTTAACAGAATAAAGAAATATCCTTAAGTGGATATGAGCAGATAGACCAGAGTACTTTGTATCTAGATAATGGGCTTGCAGTGTGCCAGGCTTTTCTACAGACACAATGCCTATTACTGGCATATCTCAGAAGCTGTGAGGATTAATTACCAGGAATTCACAAGCCACCAAGACCTGCAACAGCTTCTCTCCTCTCTGCCTGAAGAATAAAGGCTGGGAACTCACTGCTTTAAAAAATAATCAAAGCCTTGGGAGCCAGAAGCACCTTCCCAGAGATTTTGCAGGAGCACCATCCCAGCCCCCGATGCTCACTTAGGTGGTGCTTCCACAGCACCGTGAGAGCAGCGAGCTGGTGCCACCTCCCGGAGCTGCAGAGGCTCACACAGGCTTGGGAGAGCTACAGGCTCTGGCTTTGCTAAGGGCTGCTTCTCAACGTCCTCTTCACACAGGCTCTGCAACATCCTTTACCACTTTTAACAATGATGGGAGATGGAAATAGTGACGTGGTGATAGTTTATAAGCACTCATTTTTCCCTGCCATGTATAATACAGCTGTATAAAAAGCTGGGGCAGGGAGGAAAAATAGTGCAGGTGAGGGACTTCTCTTGCAATAACCTGTCTGAATATTGGGGATTCACACACTGCTTCCTGCAGCCCCTGTGCCCTGAGAGGGCAGCACAGTTGCTCAGCAAGCAGCCCCCCTGCTCCCCTCTGTGCACACACCATCCCAGAGATTCCAGCTCCCATGTCCTCACCAAGGCTGCTGTGCCAAGGGACATGGAATGAGTGAAACAGCACCCACCCAACCCAGGCCAGCACAGCGTGTCAGCAGAGCCCCAGCCCCACACTGCTGCCTCTGTGGGGACTGAAGCCAGGAACATGTGCAGGATGCCAGGGGAGCTGGTGCTCAGTGCCTCCTCCAGCCTGTGCCCCAGCATCCCAAACCCACGCTGCTCCAAGACAACTTTTTGTGAAGGCATTAAATACATCACAAATCTCAGTCAGGAAAATTATTTTAAGAGAAGCTCTTTGCAGTCTTTCCCAGACTAACCCAAAGGATGGCTTTGCCTGTTTTATCCACCCCACTTCCCTTCTTGCTACCTTTGCCTTCACAAGGACATTTTGCCTGCAGTGCTGGTACAGCCCGGGGGGAAGCTTCAAGGAGTTTGAAGAGCTGCTCTCACCAGCTTAGGAGTTTGGTAATCAGATGTATGCACACCCTGAATAATTGCATTCCCTGAGCAGGGGTTTTGTTTTTTAAAAGACCCTCAACTCTGGTGTTTGCATATTTTTACATTTTAAATTTTAATTTTACATTTACCTATACTGAATATTCACTCAACTCATTTCTGTATGAAAAAATGACTACAATCTTTAAGAAGACATGCCTAAGCAGCCACATCAGCAGATCCACTGTCTCAAAATTCCTGTGAAATCCCTCAAATGAGTTTCACACCACTGGCCACCAGAAGATTCAGTGTGCAGCATCAGCAGTTCTCTAGCACATGGTGTCACTTCTCTTCTGAGACTTCAAGTTCATGTTTTCAGTTTCTATGGCTTACCAGCCACACAAAGCCCACTGGGCTGAAGGTAGAAGAGTTGGTCTCAGCACAACAGACACATGTTACTACAGCAGAGCTGCACAGGTATCCCATGGGAATTTAGGACTGCCTGTCAGATGTCAAAGATTATCCTCCTACTTTAGAGTCTCCTCATTTGATTAGCTTTGGCTTTAAGCAGCTGACTTCATTTTCATGCCATTTAAATCTTCAGGACTCTAGGCAGGAGATGACAACTAAAACCTAATCACATCTCTGAAGCAACAGAGAGCCAGCCTGTCTTCTCCTGTTTGTAGCAAACCATTTCAGCTCAAAAGGAGCATCTATTTCTCCCTACCCACCCTGTACCTCCTATTTTTGAGCAAGGTTGCCTCAAGCTTCACAAAACAGAATTTTAACAAACAGCTTTTTCCCAGTTTGGGCTAAGACAGTTTCATCCAGGTTCTTAATCTACAGGAATATTTGACTTACATTAGAAATGAAATGTCAGGCCAAGTGACTGCATCAGCTATATCCCCACCCCAAAATTGCCAGAAGAAAGAAAAACGTAACCACAGAAGTTGCTCTGCGTCTTCAGCCTGCTGAGCAAGATTCCTTTTCATGTGTCCAACCTATTTTTCTAAGGGCAGTTCCGCATTCTCAGCTATATTAAGATTTGTTGTTACTTTTAAAAAAAACATTTTCATCTCACCTCCCAAGATTCAACATAAAGAGAGTACTTAAAAATAGAGCACTGTCAAGCCTGGGCACTTACACACATGAGTCAAGCCCTCAAAAGTTACACAGATTTTCTTTAAAACTGAGATTTGTAAAGGGATTAGAAACCTGTTCTTGAGTTATTTTGCTTGCTTGGCAGTTGAGCCTCTAGTCTATATTTGACTAGATATATCTAGGCTATCACATAGCCAGTCTTTTCTCTCTAACCCAAGGCAGGCTTTATTCCCTTTTTTTTTTCTGTTGATTTTTTCCATGCTTTTTCTAACTCCTTTTAAAAAAGGCTGAGATACTCATTGAGGCAAATGGCTTCACAATGGTGGCATATCAGATAAAATCAAACAGCATGAAAACTGTGAGCTGCTACAAGCTGCTAACCTCCCACACCTGGCATTCACCCCAACACTCTAGAGCCTCCCTTCCCCAACACCATGCTGGGTTTCCTGCAGCCTTTGGGGCAGCCCAGCTGCACACAACAAAAAACTGAAGGCAGAAGGATTAAAGCACCTCCTCTGGGATCATGCTGAAGTCAGCGTGGGAAGAAGTCAGACCTCATGACTTCTCTGTCTGCTTTAACCATCCGACCCCTCATGCCCCTCCTCACCTAAGGTGGGAGGAACACACCATGCCTACATTCAAATCCACGAGAAACAATCTTCCATTTTAATAATGCAGAAAAAAAATTAATCCAACAGCTCTGCCGTGTGCCCTCAAGGAAGGGCAGCAGAGACAGCCAAGTTCTTTCCACACAGCACCTTTTTTTAACAAGATCTGCCTTTCAAACAAACCAGGAAAAACAGACATAATTAAAGGGCAATCAAAGCACTGCAGGAACCTCTCTGTCAGCGAGATGAAAGATGCCTTTTTTAAATGAAGGCTTGCATACCCAGATCTCTTCTCCTCAGTTTATCTTGGACGCCGTACTCTTCTGTCACACAAAAAAGCACTAGCAATTCTGGTGAGTCCAAAGGCTACATATGCAGCAGCTTCAGATGAAATGTCACCTTGTGCAGGCTCATCTGCCCAGTTGGAAATGAGCAAGTGTAGGTTCTCACCCATGGCAGCTGGGGCTGCCACAGGCAATGGGGAGCAACTTGTGTTAGCACACCATGAACTCTGACCAGTCAGAGCAAACACAGGCACAGGTAGCACTATCCTGCAAAGTCTTGTATATCCTTCTGGATAAGGACCTACACAGGCAGACCTGGGACTTTTCCAGGCTGATCACCTTGCTCCACATTTATTTCGTTTCAAGAGAAGGCAGGTAAATGGTATTATCTCCTCCTATTTATGATCCTTTATATTTCTGTGTCCAAAGGATTAAGACTTTACTCAACAATCCAAGTCCACTGGATATTTCTTTCTCTATTAAGAATTTAGATAAAAACCTTAGCTCTTCTCTCACACTAGTACACCAAAGCCTCTCATTTTAACCACAGTTTGGCTTGGAAGGGACCCTAAAGATCGTCAAGTCCAGCCCCCATGTTATGGGCAGGGACACATTTCACCAGACCAGAAGGCTCAAAATCCCATCCAACCTGGCCTTAAACACTTCCAGGAACGAGGCATCCACAGCTTCTCTGGGCAGCCTGTTACAGTGGCTTAGCACCCCTCACAGTGAAGAATTTCCTCCTAATACCTAATCTGAATCTGTCAGTTTGAAGCCATTCACCCTTGCTCTGTATCACTGTAAGCTCCAGTAAAAAGTCCCCCTTCCAGCATTCTTTTAGGCCTCCTTTTGGCACTGGAAGTTGCAAGTACTTTTGGAACACTGGAAGGTGTTCTAAGGTCTCTCCAGAGCCATCTCTTCTCCAGGCTGTGCAAACCCAGCTCTTCAGCCTGTCTTCATAAGAGACATTCCAGGCTATGTTATATTCAGTCTGTGTTATATTCAACTTTAAATTGTCAGGATGCTT